AACACAGCTGATGATTCTTTATTTCTCTCTCTTCTTATTCTTCCTCCTCCATTCTTTATATGTTAGGTGTTTTATTTTGTGCTCTTTTATGTTTCCTTTGACTGCTCTTGTGGGTAGTTGATTTTATTTTTTGCCTTTAGTTAGTATTTGGTTGATCTGCTTTCTTTGCTGTGATTTTATTATCTCTGGTGACATCTATTTAGCCTTAGGAGTGCTTCTATCTAGAGCAGTCCCTCTAAAATACCCTGTAGAGGTGGTTTGTAGGAGCCAAATTCCCTCAACTTTTGCTTGTCTGAGAATTGTTTAATCCCTCCTTCATATTTAAATGATAATTGTGCTGGATACAGTATCCTTGGTTCAAGGCCCTTCTGTTTCATTGCATTAAATATATCATGCCATTCTGTTCTGGCCTGTAAGGTTTCTGTTGAGAAGTCTGATGATAGCCTGATGTGTTTTCCTTTGTAGGTGACCTTTTCTCTCTCTCTGGCTGCCTTTAATACTCTGTCCTTTTCCTTGATTTTTGCCATTTTAATTATTATGTGTCTTGGTGTTGTCCTCCTTGGGTCTCTTCTGTTGGAAGTTCTGTGTGCTTCTGTGGTCTGAGCGACTATTTCCTCCCCAAGTTTGGTGAAGTTTTCAGCAATTCTTTCTTCAAATACACTTTATATCTCTCTTTCTCTCTCTTCTTCTTCTGGTACCCCTATGATGTGGATATTTTTCCATTTGGATTGGTCACACAGTTCTCTTAATATTCTTTCATTCCCGGAGATCCTTTATCTCTCTCTGCATCAGCTTCTCCGCATTCCTGTTCTCTGATATCTATTCCATTAACAGCCCCTTGCACCTCATCCAGTCTGCTTTTAAGTCCTTCCAGAGATTGTTTTACTTCTGTATTCTCCCTCCTTAGCTCTTGTTTTTTTCTCTGTAGGTCCATCAGCATGGTTATGACCTTTATTTTCATTTCTTTTGCAGGAAAATTGGTTAACTATATCTCCTCAGGTTCCCTCTCAGGGGATATCTGTGTGATTCTGGTCTGGATCAAATTCTTCTACCTTTTCATGGCAATAGAGGTAGTTGTGGGCAGTTGTCGCATGTGTCAGCTGGGAGAACAAAGTCCCTTCCCACTTGCTCATTGCCTTCTTCTCCTGTGAGAACAGTGACCCCTAGCGGCTTGTGCACACTGACGGGGTCTGTGGGTCTGGCCTGGGCGTCTGTGGAGGAGACTGCATGGCTGCTGTGTGTGTGGCTGGTCTCAGGCTTCTGCTCCCCTATGGCGGTGCTGAGCCACATTTGGAACAGGGAGGAGGCTGTTTATCACTGTGAGGGGCCTCAGAGCTGCACTGCCGTGCAGGGGGTTAGGGTGCCTGGAGTTCCCCAGGATTCCCAGTTGCTGGGCTGAGTGTGCCTGGACGTTTCCATTCAGCTGTGAGGCTCCTGTCCCTTTAAGACTTTCAAAAAGCACGTGCTTTTCTTTTGTCCCAGGGGCACCAGTTGTGGGAACCCACTTGCATGTTTTACTGTTCCATTTCCCTAGTATCCAGCATGCCACGCACTGTGTGTGTGTGCTCTGGTGTGGATGAGTAGGGCTGGGTATTTAGCAGTCCTGGGCTCCCACTCCCTCCCCGCTCTGCCTCTTCTCCTCCTGCCAGTGAGCTGGGGTGGGGGGTGTGCTCAGGTCCCACCTGGCCGCAGCTTGTATCTTACCCCCTTCGTGAGGCACTGATTTCTCTCAGGTGTAGATGTAGCCTGATTGTTGTACTGTATCTTCTGGTCTCTCTTTTAGGAATAGTTGTATTTGTTGTATTTTCAAAAATATGTATGGTTTTGGGAGGAGATTTCTGCTGCCCTTCTCATGCTGCCATCTTGGCTCCTCCGACATTAGCATTTTTATAATTTTATTTTGGAATTTTTCAGGAGCATTCATGAAGTCAATTTCATTTGGCTCTTTTTCTGGTATATTTATAATTCGCTTTGAATCAGGTTCATTTCATGTTTAATATTTGTATATGGCACCCTTTAGTGCCCAGAAGCTCTACTCTCTGGAGCTGCTCAGCCCCTGGAACAATGTCAAGGGTCATAGGGGAGCGGTCTTTGTGCCTGGGGGGACAAAAGAGCTGTTTCCTGCTTTCCGGCTGCTATGCTGTCTCCACTGTCAGAATCAGTTTGATGAGCACACATGTAGAAGCCTCTATGCTTTGCATTTTTAGCTGGTGTAGGTGGGGTTTCCCTCTGGCTGTCCCAATGCCAGGGCAGGGTTTGCGGTTGTGCGAGCCTGGTGCAGGCTGTTCAGGATGAAGGCACAGCAGGCTGCGTGTCACAGAGGAGGGCCTTGGAGCTGCATTGCCAGCTAGGGAGCTGGAGCTCCTGAAGATCGTGAAAGTTCCCAACCTGATGGGCAGAGTGCACCCAGACAATTTTGTCTACATTTCCTTTCTCCTGAGCAGTATGCTTTGTGCAATCCTTGCCCCTTTAGCAGCCCTCTCGCTGTTAGCAAGTCTCTCAGACTGCCCGCCTTTCTTTTGTCCCAGAGCATCTGGATATGGTTCCCTGTTTTCCACAAGTGGCTAGAATCTCAGTGTCTCCAGGTATTCTCCCTGTCTTAGCTTTCCAACCCCCACTAATCATGAGAGCACCGTGTATTGTAGGTTTGTGCTCTCAGAGCAGATCTCCAGAACTAGGTGTTCAGCAGTCCCAGGCCTCCACTCCTTCCCCACTCCGTTTCTCTTCTATCTGCTGGTGAGCTGGGGTGGGGTAATGGCTTGGTTCCACCAGGCCATGGCTTTGGTATGTTACCCTGTTCTGTGAGGTTTATTCTTTTCTCCAGGTGTATGTACACTGGAGCAGTCTTCTTTCCTGTTGTTCTTTCAGGATTAGTTGTATTAATGATATTTTCATATTATATGCAGTTTTTGGAGGAAGCCTCTGTCTCAACTCTCATGCCACCATCTTTAATCTCCATTTAACAGTGTTTATGGTATCTTTTGTATGGCCTAATTGTTTTTATGAAATATCTTTTATAGTTCAAATGTATCACACACTTCTCTCCTTATTGTAATTTTTTATCTAAGTCCATATTCGGTGTTCCCATTATGAGTAAATATTCATTGCTTAGTCTGGTAGTATACTATGATAACATTTCCATTCTTGTACAGCATTTTGTTTTTCTGGGTTAATAATTCCTTCAATTTTTTTCGTTAGTGTATGTGTTTCTTTTGTATGTCTTCCTATTCCCTATAAGAACTTTGTAAGTAGCTCACTTTTCAGTACGGCATTTCACATAGTCAAACCTGTCAAATATTGTATCACTTCTGTTCTTTCCTGAAAATGTCCATCCTCGATCACTGGGTTTTATAATCTAATCTGGACTGGATGCCCTCTAGGCCATACACAGCTGTAATCCTTGGGCATCCTATTCTTATCTTCCAGGGAATTATTTTATTGTCTCTGTTATGTTGGACTCTGGTTTTCTGAATCTCATTATTTCCCTTGTCTTTCTGGGCACATCCTTTAGTGATTATTAGTATTCTTATTGGGATTGTGACAAATTAGAAAAATAATATAGGGAGCATTTTTACAATCTTATGATGTTGAGTTTTTCTATCCAAGAACATGGTAAATCTTCTATATAGTCAAATAAGGATTGCATCTTACAGGAGTGTTTTGATACAGCATAGAGAATATAGTAATGATATTGTAATATCTTTCTATGTTGGCAGTAACTACACTTACTAGGGTGAGCATTTAATAATGTAGATAACTTGAATCACTACATTATACACCTGAAATCAACAGAATAGTATATATCAATAAAAGTAAAAATTTAAAAAGTCTCTAAATTTTTCTAAAAATGATTTTTTACATTTTTTGGTGAAGTTTAATTTTAGACATTTCATATTTTTTTTTACTTTTACAAATGGGGGTGTCTTTTTTATATTTGATTATTTTTTAATTATCTTTTTTTTAATTAAGGTGTCACTAATATACAATCTTAACAAAAGTTTCACATGAGCAACATTGTGGTTACTATATTCACCCATATTATAAAGTCCCCATTACAGTTACTGTCCATCAGTAGTAAAGTGCTATAGAATCACTACTTGTCTTCTCTGTCCTATACTGCCTTCACTGTGACCCACCTACATTATGTGTGTTAATCATAGTGTGGCACTATCTCTTTTGATTATATAATCTAATTGGCTATTTTTTATATATGTGAAATCTACTGATTTCTGTATCCTGCCATCCTAATGAATCACTGTTGTAGTAGTTTTATAATTGCTTTTTGTGGGGTGTCCTGTAAATGTACACTCTTACAGTGTCCATAGAGAGACAGTTTTATCTGCTTGTTTCCAATTTCTATACTTGCTTTACTTGCTTTCTATGGCTTAATAATGTTAACTGAATATGTTAGCTACATTATGCTAGCTAAACACAAAGGATATTAACTGGTGGGCTTTTTTTTTTCCTATTCCTGATTTTAGAAAAAATTGCCTTAGTACCTTTCCATTAAATAAGAGGCTACCTTTTAAGCTGATTATATCTTCACATATGTATGTATGATACAATCATAACATAGCTATATATGAGTTTAGTTTATAGCATGAGTGTTTTAACCTTAGCAGTGTGTACTTGGTATATAAAAATAAGTTCTCATAATTTCTAACTAATATCAACTTTTATATCAGACTAGATAGATTTCTGACTGAGATGACTGGCACATTTATCTACTAGAGGCATTGGAAAATAGAGTTAAATTATGGACGTAGAGTGAACTATAACTGGAAAGGCATGATAAGCCCATATTTGAGAGAACCTTACATATCACACACAGAATTTGTAATTTAGATTAGACAATTGGGAGCCATAAAAGACATGTGAGCAATTTAGAAGGAAATTAATTTAGGACAACTAATTTATCATGGAGTGATGAGAATTTTCAATATGTAGCATACAGTTGACTTTGTAAATGGTACATAATATTTCTTCTTTTCTCTGCTTAGGAAATTGAACTTAGCTCATTAAGAGCAGCTTTGTCTTTTGTATCATTAATTGATGGATATTATAGATTAACTGCAGATGCACATCATTACCTCTGTAAAGAAGTAGCACCTCCAATGGTGCTTGAAAACATACAAAGCAACTGTCATGGCCCAATTTTGTGAGTAACACTGACAATAAAAGTAAATTTTTAAAAAAGTAGATGAGATTTTACAAAGAAGATTTTATACAACGGAGTGGTATGCATAGGTTTAGTTTAGGAAAAAAAAATACTAATTTGGCTGAAGTTTTCTTTTTAACAAGTTTATTTGCAATCATATTATATAATCATCAATTATTTAGTGTATAATTTGCTTTCTGTATCCCAATCTATAATACTTTTATAAGTTTGGTGCTCAGTTGCCTATGTGTACTTAATTTATTCTTGGGTGTTAATTTAAAAACTCCTCCAATTTATATTTCATTAGTTTTGAAATAATGCAGAGGAACCACAATTCAAAATGTGATAATTCTTTTTATTAGGGCAATCCAGCTCCTCCTATTGAAAGCTTCAAACACATGATATATATGATACCCATATTTCTAGACTAGTGCTGTACAGTATTTTCTGCAATGGTGAAAATAAAAATGTTCTATTTCTATGCTATTTAATACAGTAGTCACTTGCCACATGTGACTATTTAGAATTCAAAATGTGATTCAAAAGTAATACATCTAAGCAACTGGATTTTTAATTATAATTTAATTTTAATAACTTTACATTTAAATAGCTATCTGTAGCTACTGGCTATCATATTGACTCACACAGTTGTACACCCTTACTGTACTAGTGGATAAAGCCAGTTATCATACATAACATCTACTTAGCACAAATCCCAGTTATCTCTCAGCCAGGATGTACTTTATGAATGACATCAGGTTTAAAGGACTTAAGCAAAAGAATCTAGGATTGTGAGCATATGTTTCTTGAACTTAATTTATGCTTAATTAAATATAATATTTGAGAAATCATATCCTGATTGACATTTAAAACTTGATTTTGTCTATAACTAATATCTGCTTAATAATAAGCATAGTTGTTATGGAAAAGTTGCACTACTTGAACACTTTATAATTATATATTCAATAGTTTAAAAACTCCTGCCATTCATTCATTCTGCGTCCATCCACTCAAGCTTTCCTTCATTTATTTATAGAACATTAACCTAATACGTGCCAGGCACTGCTTTATATATGTGTGAAACAGATGATTCCTGCTTTCATGTAGATTACATTTTGACTTTTCTTTCATGATACTCAGCTTCAGTAAAACATACAGCAGACTTAACAATGGTAGTCTTTGTCAGTTGCTATGGGTCTCCTATTAGAATTTGGTATTAAATATTTAAATGACACATTAATTTTTATATTAGTAACTCCTATGGTAGAAGAGGCATAGGAAATGGATTATAATATGCTGTTTGCATAGTTAAATGAAGTTTTATGAGAGTATGATTTTAAAGTACTAAATTTGAAATAGAAGGCAGAAAGTTCAAATAAGTGAATTCTTTTCTGTCATTTTTGTCTTATAGTACCTTTTATTTGTTTTTAAAGCAATATAATTGACCCTTGAGTTGGTTTGAAATTATTTTAGAATAACTTGGTACTTTAATATTTTTCTCTGCAAGATTATTAATAAACATATAAAGTGGAGGAGACTTAAAAATTCTGAGAGTTTTAGTTTTGACTTTTGATCTTTTAGATGACATTTTGGTCGTAGTGTCATAGTGCTTACTATATTATCATTCAAATTACTTCTTTATCTTCAGAATGGATTTTGCCATCAGTAAACTGAAGAAAGCAGGAAATCAGACTGGACTTTATGTACTTCGATGCAGTCCTAAGGACTTTAATAAATATTTTCTGACTTTTGCTGTCGAGGTTAGTATATCACATTAATGAATGGTAACATTTTTTTTTCATTTCTGCAATACCCCCACTCCTTGCCTCTGGCAAAGGTAATAAATTTATTTAATCCATATAATTTCCCCTTCATGTTTACCTACCATATTTCCTTTTTAATACTTAGAATAATAGCTCTAGATATGATAACTAGTATAATAGTTCCTAATTTACTTCAGGGATTCTGCATAAACAAGATAAAATTACTAACATTTATATAAAAATATAAAATGACTTAAAATGCCTTGCTGTCTTTTTATTTGGAATTTATTTTATTTTATTTTTTGGTGTTTGGATGTTACCAGTGTGTCAAATTTCATCAAGTCTCTTGAAGTCTCTTTTTTCACAAAAAATCTTTACCAAACTTTAGAATAAAATAAATCAGAAGCAATCTTACGCTAGTAATGGTTAATAGGATTAGAGTGAAATAGGGCAATAACAGAAACAAACATCATAGCACTTTTAATTAGTGGTTTTCCAATATTAAGAATAATGATTTACAATGCCTTAAGCATAAGATTACAATGAAACCTAACTGTTAATACAGATCATTTTGGGTCTCACCTAAGATTATTTACTATCCAAAATTACCAAAAAAGATACTATAATTTGTAAGGCATTTTCATGGTATAAACCTTGAGTAATTTTAAAGCAGCTTGCAAAATTTATCTTACTTTTTGAAAGTAGAGAAATTAAGGACTTTATCATTCATTTATTTTAATTTTTATAAAGTACAGCCATCTTGTGTTTACCACATGGAGGGTGGAATAATCTCCATTAATACAGAAGATAGGTTACTCCATTACTTTAGCATTATAAAATAGTGATAATCTATCCTAATTTCACAGTATCTTATTTAGCAGTCCGTTACATTCAATTACTAAGTCAAATGTATTTTTTTTTCTATTTATTGTATTTGCCCTGCCTAATATGAGGGCTTTGTATTAGGGAGTGTATGTTATATCCCTGCTTCAAGAAATTTATCTTTTGGAAAACAAAAATTAAAAAATATACCAAAAAATACTAAATTGGTCATTGTAATTATCAAGTTTAAGCAAATACGCTATAACAGAAAGGATTGCAATTATTTAGAAAGACCTTTTGGAGTAAGGACTTGAAATATTCAGTAAATTTTATATAAATGCTTCTAAGTAGTTTGAATATGCTTGTAAGAGCAGCTCAAAAAATATATTAATGAAAAAGTTCATAAAACAGCACATATTGAAAAACTGAAAAATATTAAAATTGCCATATTAGAGATAATTATATGAAATAGTAGTAGCAAAATAAAATGGGTAATCAGCTTTGGCTATGGAATGGGGTCAGAGTTGTTAGGGGAGACCTCACAGAAAAAGTGGTACTTGAACTGAGTTTAAAGGAATGAATAAAAGTCCGTTGCTCATAAGGAGAGGATGTACATTCAAGTGAAGAGATAGCATGTACAGTCACCAAAGCATATGGCATTTGCTTAAAAAATTTTAATTCACTTAATACAGCTAGGATATAGATTGCATGTTGGGAGTGGCAGGAGTTGAAGTCAGAGATGGAGTTGCAGAAGCCAGAGATCATGGAAAGCCTCCTATGCTAAATTAGTTTTACAGTTTATTCTGTAAATGATGGAAAGCTGTTAAGGATGGTTTTATTATTGTTAATTATCATTGATTTCGTACTTGCTTTTTAATAATATCAGCTCTTAAGCTATTTCTGTAGCCTATGCAATTGTAATTAAGTGTATTTTTCAGGAACTAACATCTCTATCACCCTATACTAGTACTACATTAGGATTCAATGTTCAAATGTTTAAATGTTCTGTTGTTTGTTTTGTGATATCCTTTTTGTCACAATAATGGCTATGATGTCCATTGTGTTTTTTCCCTCACTCTCTTCATAATTAAACCTACATAGCGAGAAAATGTCATTGAATATAAGCACTGTTTGATTACAAAAAATGAGAATGGAGAATACAACCTCAATGGGACTAAGAAGAACTTCAGTAATCTTAAAGATCTTCTGAATTGCTACCAGATGGAAACTGTTCGCTCAGACAGTATAATATTCCAGTTTACAAAGTGCTGTCCCCCAAAGCTGAAAGGTAAATTAATTTTCTAGTTATTTAAAAAATATTGGTCATAGATTATATATGTCATGGGAGGTATCTTCAGTATATTATATCGAAAGAAATATGGAAGAAGCTGCTCCAAAAACTAATTTTGTCTCATCCTGCTATATTAATATCCTCAAATTAGGATTGTTCAGTTTGGTTTGAGTTATCTAGAAGTTACTTGAAGTTCCATAATTCTGAAATGATATTTAAAAAATGATTGTTGCTTGGTATAAATCAGTCACTTATTTACTGAACTAAAAGAATTTATTGCCAAATTCTTATATGTTGTTCTGGATATAAACTTACATTCTCCTTCAGAATTTTAATTTCTATACTTTTTAAATAAAGATAGTAAGGTAAGGATATAACAGGTTTAATAAAAACGTATTAAAATAATAAAAAATTATGTTTAAGAAGTGATTATAATTTTGAATGTAGGAAACAACTGGTTAGAGTACATCAAAGTTCAAGGAGTAAACTTCTAAAATAATTTTCCATTTATTGAAAAAATAAAAAACAATAAGAAATAGTTAAGCATCTCTGAAATCCTGCCACTTGCAACAACATGGATAGACCTAGAGGGTATTATGCTAGGTGAAATAAGCCAGGCAGAGAAAGACAAATACCATATGATTTCAATTATTTGTGGACTGTAAAAACAACATAAAACAAAATGAACAAAATAGTAGTAGACTCATAGACAGTGAGAAGTGAGGAGTTGGGTGGGTGGGTGGGGAAGGTGAGGGGAATAAAGGGGCACAAAAATTATCAATCATAATGTAAATTGGTCATAGGAGAATATAGCCAGTGATTCTCTAACATCTTTCTATGTAGACAGATAGTAACTAACTAGGGAGTGTGAGGATTTAATAATATGGGTAACTGTTGAACCACTGTGTTGTATACTAATATTAGATTGTATATCAACTATAATTCAATAAAAAAAAAGAGTTAAACATTTCTTATTGTAGAATGCATTTTATTTTACCCCTTTGGAGAAATTTATATCCTCAGTGTGTTTTGATTTTATATATATATATATTTTCATTGTTTCATTCTTTTTTTAACAGATAAATCAAACCTTCTAGTCTTCAGAACTAATGGTCTTTCTGATGTACCAACCTCACCAACGTTGCACAGGCATAATAATGTGAACCAAATGGTGTTTCACAAAATTAGAAATGAAGATTTGACATTTGTAAGTCATTAGATGTTGATTATTTTCTTTTCTGTCCTTTTAGAATGCAATTGTTTTCTTAATTTACTACCCCACATTACATTTATGTGACATTTGGAGCTATTTTATTATAACCTATGCTATAAAAATTTTATTGCATTTAAGTGATTTTATTTCTTGTGAAAATGTGATACCAAACTTGAGTTAGAATTAGCAAAATTAATTACTTTAAAAATGAAATTGTATTCTCTTTTTAGGAATTTAAATATATTCCTTTATAAATCTTAATTAATAATTAAAAATCTTCTTTTACAAAAGACATATATTTTAATTTGTAAGTCTTAAGAAAGCAAGGAAAAAACAAAGTGGTAAAAATAAAGAAGGAACTGAAAAGTAGTACATAAGAGCTGATACCTTGACTGGAAGATAACCTTGGGGAGTTCGGATTAGTCTCAATAATTAAGGGGATTAAGATCTTAAAGCAATACAAAGAAAACCATGTCTGAAGGCCTATACAAGACCAGGAGTTAAAAGTAAGACCACTGAATAAAGCCAGGAGTCTCAAGTAAAATATATTCTCAGTAAAACAATATATGGACTGTGAAAAATTTACCCAGTAGCGAAAGAAGAAAAGGAGTGTTGTCTATTTAGGCACTAAGTTTCCTAAGTTAGGCACTTAGGAAAAAAAAGTCTCAAGAATTTGTATTCATGAGCTTTTGAGTTTGGGTTTCTTTATATCACCTGCATGGTTGAAGAAATCTTAAGCTAGTTAATTAAATTAAAATAAAAAGTAGTACTTTCCTAGTAATAACCTGTGATGCTGGGTAGAAACAAACAAAGTCTTTTTGGAAGAACATAATCTTAACCTAGGCCACCCAGGACTCCCACAGATAAAACAACTCTAAGCATGAGTTCTAATAAAATTTTTTTAGAACATACAAGGAAATAATCCAGGAGTAAGAAAGAGTCAACAGACATCAGACATCAAAATTAGACCTCCATATAATAGGTTTTTCAAATAGATATTAAAAAAACATATATATGTTTAAAGATAAAAGGGATTGAAAACATTGGGAATAAATAAAACATTGTCAGAAAAGACCAAAAAGATTTGGGGAAAAGAAGTATAGAAATAAAAAATACTTTCATTGACATGAAAACAAAATGGACAGGTTAGAAAACAGAATACTCATTGTTGAAAGGAGAATTAGGGAATTGGAAGATAGATCTGAACATTATTCAGGTGCAGCAGTTAGGGAGAAAGAAATAGAAATTATGAAAGAGAGATTAAGGACATGGAAAATACAATGAAAAAGACCAACTGATGCCTGAGTTCCATAAGGAGGCAATAGATAGAATTATTCAGAATTATAAAGACATGAATCTTCATGTGAATAATGACAAACAGAGAGTCACCAGATAACCTAACTAATGTTATAAAAGTAATAATAGTAGAGCTTCAGAGTGCAGGCTTTCAACAGTTATTCTGTAAGTGTATGCAGGAAGAGGTAATAGTAGTAATAGCTAGCATTTACTGAGTGTTTACCATGTGTCATGGACTGTACTAAGTGCTTTCATGTAATTATTCATTTATTGTTCATTGAATAATCCTATGGAAAAATAGCTGATATCCCCATTCCTCAGATGAAACCAAGATAACTGCAGCAGAGAGATTAAATAGCCTGTCACACAAATAGGAACTGGTACTCAGGAACAAGTTAAACATTCTGCTTCCATAGACCATACTGTACTGCCTTTCTACCGCACTATTAGGAAAGGCAAACAAAGAAAAAGATTCATATGTAAATAAATGTAGGTAAACACTGACACTATAGAAAAGTGATTATTACAGCTAATTCTGTCTTTTATTACTATGTAAAGAAGCAGAATATAATTAATTTGAAGTCTCAAATCTGGGTTTAATTTGTAAGGGAAATATTTGCTCATGGATTATTTTTTTTAACTCTTTGTTATTGAATATGCTTTCTAATTCCCTTATCTTTCTCCACCTTTATTCATTCTTTCTTTTTTTTCTTTTAAAGAATGAAAGCCTTGGCCAGGGGACTTTTACAAAAATTTTTAAAGGTGTACGAAGAGAAGTAGGAGACTATGATCAATTGCATGAAACAGAAGTTCTTTTAAAAGTTCTGGATAAAGCACATAGAAACTATTCAGAGGTGTGTATGGTCTTTGTATAGTTTATGTATTTATGATATTTAAAAGTGAGCTCTCATATGCCTGCAACACACTCATGATTTCAGCTTTTCAAACTGTTATTTTTAGAAGTACATAGTCAAGGACTTTTCTGAGGATGCATTCTTGTGGGGCTATAGAAAATTACAGAATTTTTAAAATAATAACTGATTTCCAAACTAATTATTTTTAGCATTGTGTTATAGGTATTATTATCTCTGCATATACTAAAGCAATGATTTTTAAACTTGGCAACATCCAGAGAAACTCAGCTGCCAGTTGTCAGAGTCCTTAGCATAGCAAAGGCATCTCCAAATAAGACATAAACATTTATGATACCTAAAATGTCATAAAGGATATTAGTGGAAGATGATGTGAAACATATAAGCTGAAGAGTTGTTCTTATCCAGACAGAACACCACAGTATTGGTGGTTGTGATCCTCAACAACATACCCAGAAGTTCTAGTCAAAGTTTAGTTGAGTTAGAATGATGTTAAAACCATGCCACTCTCCAACATAGTTGTCATAATATTTTATCTGTACAGAGATCATTCTTAATTCTTTAGGAAGTGTTATTTGAAGCTCCCATCCATTTACTTCAGTACTATATCACTATCTCTGGTGTCTACCTCTGTTCTCTACTCTAGGAGCTTTGGGTCTAAGCCTGTCTTGCATTGTGCATGTTGCACTGTGCCACTATTGCTCTCTCTTATTGCTGTCTCATTCCAGGCTTACTCATGGGTTTACTTTGAATGAACTCTACCATCCATAGAGTTGCCAGTCCATATAAGGGAACCAAAACACATAGTAAGCTTATCTATAGTCCTGCTTAGATTAGGAGAAAGTACATTTCTCTTATGGCAGAGAGTATCTTTCTGAACTATGAATACTTATAGACACAAATGACATTTCTTGCATTTTTTGTGTGTTCTTCTTTTCCTTAGTCTTTCTTTGAAGCAGCAAGCATGATGAGCCAGCTTTCTCACAAACATCTGGTTTTAAACTATGGAGTATGTGTCTGTGGAGAGGAGAGTAAGTAGAACCACTGCCTTTCTTTATGTTAATGTTATACCGTTCTCAGAACATCCATTTTTTGTTTATATAGAAAATTCAGTTTCAGAATCATGGTTAGGTATCAGTTTAAACCATAATTTAATAGGAGTTGTATATTGTTGAAACAAAAAACCTTGTAAAACTGTTCAGTTATGTCTTCTAACAAAGGAAACCAATGAATGAAATTAAATTGCAGAAAATATTTAATATGCCTTTTATTAAAATGCCAAAACAGTAGAGTATTATAGTAAACAAATGTAACCATTTCTGTTAACTATAGCAATACAGATTATGGCTGGTTCAACATAACATTGGAATAACTGGCTATTTCAGTATAAATTTATTAGGAATTATCAAGACAAAGCATATAAATGATAGACTGCAGTTTTAATGGAAGTGATTGAAATGATTGGGTGTTGATATTAGACATATTCTATGGCTGAATTTAGACTGTTCATAAAAACTTAGTTTACATTCAGAAAGTTACTTATGTAATTCTCC